AGGACTATTTATTGACTCTGAGCAGTTGCCAAGCAACCAGCAGGTACTCCGGGAAGTTACCTAGCAGATTAAACAAACCAGATATAATAAAAGCACTGTCAAATATGCTAGTAGGTGTATTTTTGGAACTATTTGAAGAAACCATCATAACTTTCTGCTCTGTTTCAAGTCTGTGCTAAGCTAGGCTAACTAGCGGCTGGATGTAGGCTTTTAATATAGAGGGCTCTTCTTCTGTAACTCGCAACAAGGAGGTAAAAAGGATATACCGCAATGTTGGATTTTTCTGTTGAATCATTGCCAAGCCTCTATGTTATACTAATTAATTTAACAAAAAAAAATGTGATTGAAGGATTAAAACGTAATCCTTTGAAACACAGTGAAAGTATAACTCATTTTCTAATTTTCTTAACAGAGAAAGATAGATTTGTGTCAAATATGCAGCTCAGCATGAAACAAAAGAAGCACATTACTCAGGGAAAGAGATTGATTCAACGTTAAATATTTGGAAAGTGCACTTCTGAGCAGAGAAGTCAGATTTTTCGAGGCCATAATCTTTGACACTCTGTTGCAGAGAGGAAACTGTCTCGGTTGGACATTCCAGCAGCCAGGATGAAAGTGAGCGACTGTCCAGAACGAAGGCCCGCTGACTCGCCTTGGGTCACAGCATGTGCCAGACAGCTTTGACTTAACATGTGCCTGTAAACATTGTACTCACTATGTATGTAGCTGCAGTTTGCCTTTCCTAAAATGAAACTACATTCATTCACTGAGCTATAGCTTCGCCAGATTCAAGCCAGGGAGTAAGAAATAAAGTAGACATGATGAATTGAAATTGTTTTCTTAAAGGATTCCCCATCTTTAATGGAGCCTCATTTTGGAAAGTGAAAGTACTTGTGCCTGCTAAGTGCACCCATTAATATCCAGTCGAAAATCACTCATCACAGTCATGCACACTCGCTTGTCCTCTCAGCACACCCACAGATCGAAGTTGTTTTCATGAATCACACCGCGCTGCTCTCTGACTGAATTGTTATCAAGTGTTTTCACCACTCAGGTAATGCCAAGATAATAATCTGTGTGCTCTCTCTGCTGCTCTGTAACAACATGTACTGTGGTACCGGAGCACCACTTGTCAGACAGACGCTCTCTCAGAGTGTCTGCTGAGTGCTAAAGTGAACGCAGGATTGATCCCTCTCCACCCACTCGTCAGTGAGTGACCGAGGGCTACCCCGAGGCTCAACCTTCCTCGCGCGCTCTGATCATAACAAGAACACAACTGTCTGACACTGCATGCCTGTTGCAGACGAAGGAGACAGACTGAGACGAGCTTGGCTGTTTTCATCAGCAGAGAGTGCTTCTGGTTCAGGGGAAAGGCATAGAAAGGTTGTAGGAGCTCATCTGCTTTAATTGGGATCTGGTAGGGCTCAGACTACTGGGCTGATTTATATGGGATTCATCCATTCTTACAGAGTAGGATTCCTGTTTGGGATTTGTTGGTTTTTATATGTGTTTGGCCCAGATTTTCTTTTAAAGTAAGCAGTTTCCAAATCCAGTCTTAAACCTCCCCAAATGACTCATAAACTCATCAGGCAGTCTGGATAATATCAAGCATGTTTGACATTAAATATGTAAATTCTGGAAAAGTTTGTCAGGTTTCCGGATTAAGACAAAAACATCAAATGAGATAGAAGTCTAAGAGACTAAGATGACTAACATCTAGCCTCTGAACCTTCTGCTGTTTTTTTTTTTACACTGCAAATCATCACTACAGCAGGTTCTCTGGATTTTCTGCTGTTTACATTTGTTTCCCCATGATATCACATGATCACACAAGATCACTTGACAATCGTACTATACCCTGTAATGATTGATGTGTCATGTTTGAGATGAAAGGAAAGGGCATCTGTGGAGTTCTTCCTTTTATCAATTAGGAGTTGTTACCTCCTGTAATCTGGACCTAGCCTTGTGGAGGTGAAGGAAACATATGGGAGTAATTCAAAGGTGACATGTCATTTAAGCCAAAAGGTGATCCTCTTTGCAGTGTCCCCAACCCCTCAACGTCACAGAGCATTTCGAGGAGGACACTGGCAGTCTTGTTTCCTGGCTGACCTGAAAACATCTTCCCTACCCTTGCTAAAAATGACTTTACTGGATATCGTGCTCCAGTGCCTTGGCAGGCAAAAGGGGACTTGTGCGTCTGCTTGTCTTAAAGGCACATCCAGTCTCTGAGGGGAAAGGTCTAACAGCTTAACAGATTTTACTTCAGAAACCAGCCTGAGAAAGAAGTGTGAAAGTGATGAAAGCTAAAGTGGAGTCAATATGTAACAACGAGATGCCCATAGAAGATAGTCTTGACTGTCAGTATATCTCTTTTTGCCTTCCTCCTTTTTTTTTTTCGCAAAACGCAGAGAGAAGTTCAAGGCCGAAGGGATGGGCAGCAATAAAACTTCATTTAAAGCCCTCTTTTATGAGGCTTCACATACAGTTTAAAAGAACAGTCCAAATTACCACAGACACAACCCAGGCACTCTCTTACTGTCCCAATTACACCTAAGCACACATACTGACACTTGCAATACTAACACACACCTACAGCACACCCAGAGAGGGCTGGACAGGACTGGGGGACAGAGGAGAAAGTTGTGAACATCTTCCCGGTTGCAGAAATATAAATATAGTATGCACGGGCTGACAGCGAAGCTTTCTCAACATGTCGGCGGTGATGCAGTCGGTTGCTTATGGCCGACAGAGGAAAAAGCCTGTCTACTTCATTAAGTGAGAAGGAGAGGAAGCAAGGACAAAGCAAACAAAGCTAGAAAAAGAAAAAGGAAAGGGGTTGAGTGAGTGAGTGTTGGGGGTGGGGTGGGTGGTGGTGGTGGTGGGGGGGGGGGGGGGGTTCTTCTTCCTTTCCATCTTGAGACTCTCTAGGCAGCATCTTTAGGTAAAAGCCTCCCCGTCACTTGGGCCTCATAGTGCCAACTCTGCTCGGTTCCCACACTGTGTCCAGGGGCCTGGATCTGGCCTTCCTCCCCTGCTCAGGCAGCCCTGCATCTCCCCCAGGCTCCCAGAGCAGAGGTTACACCAACATAGCCAGCCACGGCAGCATGTCAGCCCCACACCAACCGTTGCCTTGGTGCCGCCGCATTAACGAAGAGCTCCTGACTCTTTTTCGAGGGAAAAGTGATTTGCCATGTCGTCTGTGGTTCTTTCCTCTCCCCTCTGCGTCTCTCTCTTCTTGCTTGCTCGCTCACCAAGAAAAACCCTTCTCTCTCTTCTTCCTCTTCTTCTTCTCCTCTGCCTGTCTGTCTGTCTCTGCACCCTTAATCTCCCGTTTCCCCTGTCTCATTTTTCCCCTCTTTGTCATTCTCTCCACCACATCCTCGAATCTTCCCTCCCTCATTCCACTCCTCTTTCACTTCGCTTTTCTTCTTCCCAGAGTAATGACTGATGCCTGAAACACAGTGCCATGATTAGTCTGACACTGATGAAAGACGAGAACTCTTGTCGGCAACATCTGTGTTGAATAAATATTGAGCTGACAAATTGTGCCTCTTTTTAAAGTCATTGTTCTTCCGTCTCTCTAGTTTTTTTTTTTAGAGTTATTCCAAGCACGCAGACTTGACAGTGCCACAGAGTTGCCACCAACGTCAAACACAATATTTCTTTATTGCAGTTAGGCCCAAAATATGCTCACAAATAACTTGAGTTAAACTCCGATTTAATGTGACTGCAGAGCTGCTGATAAACAGGAACTGGGGGAGGAGGCGGAGGAGAAGCCGGTAAGGTGGTCGTGCACACTGTTTCTCTCAGTGACCGACCAACAGGTGCACGCCATTACAGACCCACTCTCATATGGCCGCATTCCCTGCTACAAGGAAGTGTGTAATCGATGTTGTGGAAAATAAAGTGAGAAAAAAGTAGTTCTAATTGCAAAATGTAAATATTGAGTTTTCCCACAAGTGGGGGCAGACCACCCAGGATGCAAAATAGTCACCCACCCCCTTTCTCTTTTTTGCCTCGTCGACCGCCCGAGAGATGTCTTTTTGTGTGTGTGAAACATCACCGACCACAATCAACACTCGCACACAAACCCATGATGTGTCTTTGCATGCAAATACTTCTGGCAGCTCCGGCTCAGCGTTTGTATTGTGGGAAAATTAAGTGATGAAAACCTGGAGGGGAAGGCTGAGCGGATCAGAAATCAGAGTGTTTACCACACCACCAGGTCTTACTTGTTCCTGCAAGGTGCCAAGAGTTTCTGATTCAGGCGGCCCCCCGTCTGCTCTGAATCATTTCTCACAAGACAAGAGAGCAAGAGGGCAGCCAACTGGGCAGGGTGGCTCTGTAGCTGCAGTGTCTGACATACTGAGACTCCCTCGGTGTGTGTGTGTGTGTGTGTGTGTGTGTGTGTGTGTGTGTGTGTGTGTGTGTGTTACAGGTCTGTGTCAAATACTTGTCTGCTCTGTGACAAATGCCTCCTAGTAGTCTCACTACAAGTACCTGCAGGATCGGCTATGAAACATAACTGTTCACACGCTGCCTGCAGATCAAAGACAATTGTTTTTTTCCTGACAACAGATGACTCTCAGTGAAACTTAATTGAAGCCTCATTATGTCTTTCTTTTTCGGTTATGTCTTTGCATAAGCAAACAGAGAATACAAAAAAAGCAATAAAGCAATCATCTAAAGTAGCAGTGGTGGAAACTTGATGAATTTAAGTCAAGAAATCCGACTTTACCCCTTTTAAATCACAGTAATCTTGATTCCAGCTAACATTAATTCAAGTTTCATTTACTGACAGAACTGGTTGCAATTTTTTTTTAAAGTGTCATCATTACCAGCTTTCTAAAAGCATCAAACTAACTAATCAATTGGGAACAAGCAGCGAGGGAAGATCAGCTTATAACATTCATTCAGAGTGAAATGCAAGCAAAATTAAAAAAAAAAAAAAAACAACTGTAGGAGAAGAAGAAGAAGCTATTTTTAAAGTGAAAACTTACCTTGAGTGGTCTTACTTCCTGAAGCAGACTGTTGGACAAAGGCGACCAAGCAGAAACCTACAAATCCAAGGCTCGCGCGTATCAAAGCGTGCATATACATGTTAACTTTCACTGCAGTTGAACACGAGCACTTTCTAAAGATCTGCGATGCGCAAAGAGCATATGAAAGGGTGTGTGTGTGTGTATGTGTGTGTGCGTGTGATGGTATAAGGGTCTCGTGGTATTCCCCGCTGATAGGACACTGTGCGATCCCCTGCTTTCTTCTTCACGCCTGCTTATTTGAGTTTCAAGTGATCGGGGTTGAGGGCAGCCCGACAGCGCGGAGCGGAGGAAGGCTTTTCTGTTATCATGTTCCGAGCCAGACCAATGTCAATTTAAGAAAGGGGGAGAGAGAGCAGGGAGAGGGAGAGAGAGAGAGAGAGTCAGAGTGAAGGAGAGAGAGTAAAGAGAGAGAGAGAGAGATGGAGTAAAGCGGCGGGGTCTGAAGGGGGAGGAGAGAAGAGGAAGCGTCCACGCGCTGCGCTCCGGACTTCTCCGCAGCTCGTGCTCTCCTCTCACTGGCCCTCACCGGTTCCCTTTTTTTTTTTTTTTTTTTTTTTTGTTCGCCTTTTGTTCTGCACGGATTTTCACACAGGTGCTGGTTTTTGCTGGTGCATTAAATTGGAGCAAAACTAACCACATGCACACTGTGCACACTGTTTGAGAGCACCATGCATGGCCGCAGCCACCTGCGCAAAAAAAAAAAAAAAAAGTGGCCAATAACGTCCGCGTGGTAAAAAAGAAATGACCGAAAAGAAGGGCAGGAGGGTGGATGGGTTTATAAATGAGTGAGATGGGAAAAGTAATAGCCTTGAGATTGCATTTTGTTCTCATACCAGCGAACTGTGGGGGGGGGGGACAGTTCACCCAGTCCAGCAAACAAACCAATAAGCACCTATTTCTGCAGGGTCATGGTGGGTGCTGCATTAACGTGAGGACGTGTCCAACCAGCCCAATGAAAAACTAATATTCTCATTAGAACCGTTTGTCAACAATTAGTGTTGACATTTGGAGAAACTCAAACACCCAAATAACGGATACATTATTTTGAAAATCTACTGAAAGGGGAAACAGTAAATAAAAACAGTCTTGTTTCTCATGAGCTGACAGGAGACACTAGTTCAACTTGCAGAGGGACTTCTAAATTGCGAGATTGATTTGGAAATAAAAATGAAACACACTTCTTTATGCTTTCACTCATTTCCCTGCATGTCCTCCTCAATCCGAGGTCAATTGAGGGTTTGAAGTAATTTCACATCCCTGAGCTGGAAAAAAAAACGGAAAAACCTGTTTCATTTGTAAGAACACACATGTGAAAGGAATTAAAGCTGTTGATATTCAGTTATTATGTTGAATGAATAAGCTCCAGCTGTTATAAATATTGTTCAAGATGAATCAACTCCTTGTGTACGATAACACTCAGTAATTGTTTACAGGAACACTGATTAAAGCCTTTTAATTATCAAAAAAAAAACATAAAACCTACAAAAGAAATTATGTTTGGCGTCATGTGGTTCCAAAACCATAACTAACAACACATCATCTGCTCGCCTGTATTGATTATTGTGTTTATCCCTGCAGGAGATTTGGCTCAAACCCCACATTTGGCTCATTGATTTGCGCTCCTGGCTTTGAATGACTAAACCCTGACTTGTGTGATAAATCAGTAAAACATAGGTCCACTTAATGCATGTTGTTAAAAAGACAAAACTTCCTCGGACCAGAAGAGGATGTACAGACATTTGAAGCTAAAGATGGTTGGCTTTGTAACCCTTGTCGTCAACCAACCCTGCATATCATGAGTCACTATTTACACACCATTACCCCCACAACCTGAAGAGGAATGAGGCTTGAGGAGTTACATGAATCAAAGCAGACCTCTTTCACAGCCCGCCAAGCTTCTGTGCCACGTTCCGTCGCCACTGACACATGAAACATTGGATTTCAGGAGGAGTCCTGCAGAGGCAAAGCATCTGTACATCCTAACACCTGCCGCCTCCTCGGGCATTATCACCAAGATTAATCAGCTGTGTTGATGCGTTTATGTTTGCGTTTCATCGTACGGGGAAGATTCTACACTATAATTATCCCGCCCGCTCCCATGTGTGATTTTTTTTTTCTCAATCAAATATAATGAGGACCTCACAATGAGGCTGATTGGTGATAAGAGCTTTCTTCAGATGATGCAGAGGATTTTTAACACACACACACACACACACACACACACACACACACACACACAAAAGCTGAAAATAGACTTACTGCTAAACAGGGAGGGGGAGAGGGGATTCTTTTTCATGATCTTATTTCTTATCAGAATTCTGTCACTGCCTTTATTTTCAATATCTGTCAGAATTTAACTACCTTGAATTGAAAGATTAAACAGTGTAATTAATTATTGTTTCTCCTTTTTTTTTCCTGCAGGGGTGTGTCCAGAGGGGTGGCCATGGGTGGCAGGCCCCCCTACCCTCCAACCCCCGGGAAACTGATTGGCCACCCCAGGTGCCATCCTATAATCCAAAACTATTTCACTATTGTCTTGTCAGAGGCGGGACTTGTGTTCAAATCAAGTATTCAGGTTGTTTTCTTTACACCTCAATGTCGCATATTTCCTTTATAAGTACATTTTAAATAAATTTGTTTTTTTTATCGTGATTAATCGCTACATTTCACTAGTTAATGGCGTTTAATCACATTTTTTAATCACATGTTTGAAGTTCCATTATTTAGCAGTTAAAAATAAATGCTGTTATGCTTTTATTCTGGGGTTCCAGAATAAAACATTCAATTTTGACGGTTCAGAACTATGACCTTATATGTGTTTGTTGATGTGTTTATAAGGTATTTTTATTTTTATTTTTTACCACATACATCGTATTATCTTATAATTATATATAATTACTGCGGGTAATCCTTTGTCTTGCGAGAATGCAGCCTTTGGGTGTTGACGGACGAGGGAGCACGGAGCCGTAAAGGAGCGCCTAAAGGGACAAAATAGCATGTGATTAATGGCAATATAAAAATGTAAGGCATTATTTCAGTACATATTAAATCAGGATTAACTAGTAAATGCTGACAGCCCAAAAATAAATAACCCTAACCCTAACATGCAATGAAGTCACTATGTTTCAGTAACACTGCCAATGAATGGATTTTTGCAGTTAGACAATGTGACTTTGGACATTCGTCTTCTTTTTGAGTCCTTAAACACTTAAGCTCCGAAGCTTCACATGTTGCCATTGTCTTGTGTTACTTAAAAGTAAATATGATCAGTGGAGATAGAACGGTTGCAGTAAGTCATTTAAATTCTTCCATGTGTGTGCACGCAAACCTTATGCCACCTCTGCATAAGTCAGTGCCATCCCAGTCTTTAAAAAGTGTGGACACACCCATTTTCAGGGAATAATAGGTGCCTCAGTAAATAAGAGATTCAGTAAAACAGAAAAACCTTCCAAGAATCCCTCTTTGCATCCATATAAGACTAAAAAAAAACATGTAAATCCATAGCACAAAGTCAAGCAGTGCGGCGTAATTAAAATAACATCCGTCAGGGATATGGAAATATCCCACATCCCTGCGTCCAAATCTCCTGGTAATTGTGAGCACTTGTATAACCAAATGAGCTCAGAGTCACTCTGGGAGTCTGAGAAAGTCAGAACACGGGTCGCACAGAGCCTGAGTACGAGTCACGCTGGAGGATCGGTGCACTTTTCATGGAAACACTTCATTAAAGACAGAAGGGGCTGTGCACGGGCGTCACACTGTGCACCAAACAGAGCTATTTTTACACCCTTAGACACATGCGGGACGCCGAGGCCATGTTTAATTTATGATGCTGGTCATGAAAAGGACTTGAGCTCCACGCTTGGTAAAGATGAGCGGGAGAGTGTGGAAGGTGTCCACAGAGCAGTGAGGATCATTCATAGGTAGGTTAGACGACGCTGTACATCAGAGAGCGCTTCAGACAGTGTTTCATGCAGCGTGTTCATGAGTTTCACTGAAGAGTAGATGACCGCAACCTGCCAGGACATGTTTTGTAGAGGGTGTGTGGCTCTGTTTGCTTTTTGGATTTGAAGGCAATATCAATGTGTATTTTTTCTTCTTCTGGAGAGTTAAAGCAGTCCTACTTGGATCTGTATACGTTTGTGTAAACCCCCTTAATAGTCGACACTTTCATCATTGTGACCATATTTGGAACCAGAAGTGACCATATTTGGACACTGAGTGGTTACAAATCAGTATGTCATTTTTTTGGGCTAGGCTGTTAAGAGTTTAACTTCTACTGTCCAAATAGATTTTTTTAATGTGGGGTGTGTACGGGACTTCCGGGTCTCGAGTGGACACATGCACTTTTGCTTTAGCTTCATTTTTCAAAGACAGAGGTAATAATAATAATGAATTAGATTTATATAGCACTTTTCTAAATACTCAAAGACAATGTGAAACACGTGCGTCATTTGTAGTTGTGATTGTGAAGCGCTTTTCTACTACTGTCTTTACATATTACCGGCTGTTTTTTATTTTTTTAAACATAAATGAAATACAGGGGAGGCATCTAAATGTATTCAGATTTTGAGTAAAGAAATTTAATAAATACACATTTAAATATTTTATCATATCATGTAGCATCAATCGCATCGCATCACATTATATCCCATTGAATGATATCCTATATACTCTGACTTCTTAATAGAAACCAGTTGAGTCTCCCCCTGCTGGCTACAAGACAGCATGCAGGTTTAAGCTACTTCCACATTGGCTTCGTGTTTGAATGCAGAGCATCTGTCCACTTCTTACTTACAGCTTTTAATGGTTCCATCTCAAACAACAGCTCTCCAGAAACTCTTTTTTTTTTTTACTTTGCAATCATCCGAACAGAAAAGTAGGCTCACCTAATTGTTCGACCTACTTTTATTCTGACTTTAAAATTCGGAGTCAAACAACGACTTAACAGCTGTTGCTAAATAAATAAATACAAGATGGATGCATGTTGTGAGGCCACCACTTTCCTATACTGCATGCTAATGAATGGAGGAGCGAGACGCCCTGCAGAGAGCCTCATGTTCTCTTCCAGATGGCCATACGCTGCAACACGTCACCTCCATTCCTCATTTACTTTCATCCATTTGTGACATTTATTTCTCCCCAATTGTCTGGAAGGTTTATGTGTGAAAATGCCAAGGCTCCGAGCTCAGGAGTTTCTCCTCTTTCTTCCCCTCTTTCTCCTCTCTGCAGGGGTTCAAATGCGAGGTTACTGACACCACCGCAGGCCCAGCGGGGTCCCTTGGTACTCACCATGGCGGCACCACAGGGGAGCAGAGCGGCTTGCTGAGTTCCACACTTCAGTGCAGGCATCCCGGCAAATGCTGCGGGCTTGCCCCAGGAATG